CAATTAGAAGCTTACTAAAGGGATATTTTCCCAATGTGTTGACAATGCCACGACGCCTTTCGCATACAATTCAATATTTCTAGCATATCAAGCTAAAACGAACCAATAATTATCAAAAAAAAAAAAGGATAAAAAAGAAGTTATGACATCTGCGAGACTTTTTGAAACGTACAGTAACCTAAATTATTCCTATGGTTACATTAATCGGTTAGTTATTTATGTTAATTGTAGGATAGTCAATAGTTTAGGTTGAAGTCATGATGGTGATGAGCTTTGTAGGCACCGTTATTATGCCTTATCTATGATTTCAGACCATTGGAGCCAAACCCGGCTAAATTGACAAACCACATAGAAGAGGAGATTCATGAGAAGTCAAAGAGAACTTTTCCACTCTCCAGTAGAGAAGAATGTAAAAATGGTTCTGTGGTCACAGTTCCAACGGCAAAATATACATTTGTATTCAGTAACCCGTTACTGCCAGTATGATATTATATTCGACCTTGTTGATGAACTCGGGCTAAATAGCAAAGCAACCGAGAAGGGAAGACCAGAAGGAATTAAACACGACTTTTTCATTTTCCAGTAAAGAAAAATTAACCAATAGATCAGTTTCTTCTGTTGTCGACAGCTCCAACGGCGAAATTTGTCTATTTACTGACAGATGAAAAGGTGAAATAGAAACAGCAGCGGTATCTTTTTTAGTAATCCATACGGAGAAGATAGTTTCAAACTAAATGACTACAATTAAATATTTCATGTAGAAGATAGTTTCTTAAGAGAAGGTGTCAAGTGGGCTTCTGCTCTAACCAACAAGAAAAGAAAAATCAGACATTTTAACCCACTCAGGGCAGCTTATTATGGACAATTTGAACACAGTATATGGACACATTCGGTTCATGCTGTAAAAACTGGATCACGATATTAATTATTGCTAAAGACGCCTCGGAATTATAATGAGTACAGTTTTATTATTACGACTGGCAAGCTGATGTAAACTCGGCTATAACCTTGTAAGCGGTGTTTACGCCACTAAAGAAGAAGTTTTATTAGGTTATAAGTTTAAAAAAGCTTAATAAGAATCTATTATTGAAATTCCCTTTCACCAAGGGCATTCTTCTTTATATCTTTTCTCTTATTATTTTAAATATATTTTATCCACGCTAAAACAACCAAATGCTATATATTTCATTTAAGTGGCAATGCTTTTAAGGGATAAACGGTAAATTTAACATATCGAGAGAGAGAGAGAGAGAGAGAGTCAGAGAAACACTTTTTTACGTACCACAATGATTTCTCCTAAATAAAAGTTGACAGCAAAAGTAATAAATGCAATAAAAGAAGACACAAGCAGTTATCAGGCATTCACTAAAATCACAAAATTATCCCTTTATAGTTGAATTTTACAGTTTACTTTTATAAATTATTAAATGTACTTTAAAAATTCCACTTCACTGTCTATCAACAGTATCTCTAATAAACTTACGTGGTGGTTGCGCGAACAGAATATAAAGAGCGCAACACTCTCGAAACCATTAAGCACAAAAAACTGTTGTACATTATCTCTGCCAACATCCACCGGTACTTTTGCGGCACACTTATCAAAAGTATCGATTTTTCGAACTATTCGCCGCTTTTGTGTACGAGTACAAGTTCAGCCACTGTTATGAGCCACCCCAGCGTACGAGAAAAATTTGCTATCAGCGAAAATGTGCAGCAACCCTCTAAATCTCATTTGCCGAATTTGACTTTACACACCGGTAAAGGACGGAAGGAAATGTTTGTCAATGGCTATGAAAGCGGTGGCTTAAACAATAGAAATTATTTTATATTTGTGGAAGCAGATTGCAGTTAGACGTTTTGTAAGCGCACCACGAATCATTCATACATAAAGCGAATACTTTGTGTGGTACTTCGTATTGACCTCTCAGTGGTGGGCAAATTAATGTGCATTGAACTCGTATCTAACGCGAATTTCTTGTGTGGTGGCGCTGACAAATTAGCGACTTTTGTGTACTCCGGTTTGGGAGAAACAGATGTGAGGGAGAAAAGGGGCGACATGTTTAAGAGGGTACTTTGAAGACACCTTATAACTGATAAAATTCAATTGATAAAATTTTTAATGAATCTAACTGTTAACTGTATGCGTGTATAGTACAGGCAACAGCTTTTAAGAATTTTTGGAACACACGGGTGTAGATGAAATGGATTCGTAGATATTATACAATGCCACAATTGTTATTACTACAGTATGCTGTCTTCAAAATAATAAGATTAGATAAAGTTGTCAGCGAAAACATCTCGTTTCTGTTATTAAATATTCGTGATATGTGTGGAGAGATGACAACAAACTAAGGGACTGACAGCAAATAAAGTTTTGAATGTTTAAACGACTGATAAAGAACATAACGAACATAGCGCAACAAACGAAAGTCTTCAAGTAAATATTGAACAACGTTCTGGCTTCAAAATCTGGTAAAAAGTTCTCCTAAAGAAACGACAGGATAGCTTTCATTCAGAAAGAAAACTCAAAAACATAGTTTACGAATGATTAGTTCATTAGAAGTGGGCAGTAATATATTCTGCCGCTTCTACTGCATCCAGCTTCGGGAGGCTAAACACTACTACTAAAAAAATATTAACCAGTCACTTAAAGAAACATTTGTTAGTTATGCCCAAAGGCAGTCACCGTGCAAACCTTATGAGGCTTTCTAACTACAGTAAATAATATTAAGAATTGGAAATCGGGGACTGTGAAAAACAAAACTATAAACTCTGTAGAGAATATGTTTATGCCATAAATAATTCGGATTTGATGGAAGAGACTCCGTTCTCTATAATTAATAGAAAATTGTATCTAATATAAACGAAGCTGGTTTTATCAAAGGTCAAAAATTTAGGAGCACGCTTTAGGATGATATAATTAAAAACGACAATGAATGAGCTCTGTAGTATTTGGTATATGGTAGAAACTATATTTCGGTTATGGAATCGATTCGGTTATGAGATCGAAATCTAATGCGGAATAACTCTTGCCAACACTTGCTACTTCGAACTGAGTGGGCAATTGAAAAGTAAGTAATCTCTCGGCGAGCAAAGACCAAACTCTATAAGACACTCATTATTCGCGTCCTCCTATATGCTACAGAGGCATGGACGATCACAACATCTGATGATTCGTCGTTACGGGTTTTCAAGAGAAAGATTCTGCAAAAGATTTAAGACCCTTTGCGCTTTGGCAACGGCGAATAATGCAGTCGATGGTACGATGAGTTGTACGAGATATACGACGATATTGACATAGTTCAACGAATTAAGGGACAGCGGAAGATATCCAACCCGGTGGAGAAGGATCTGGTTATATTTGGAATTTCCAATTTGTGTCAAACAGTGAAAAACAAAAACGACTGATGCGCTGTTGTCAACTTGGCTATAACCGTGTAAGCGGTGTCTACGCCTCGAAGTTGACTCGAAATTTGTCACACACCGAAGAAAATGTCGGATACCCTAAACAAATATGAATGAACAGAGTGCCGAGCTGAGTGGATTTAGCCATGTACATCTATCTGCCCATATATACACCAACTATGTTTTCAAGATATCGGTCTAAAATTTCGCTCAGCACTCGTCGTTTTATCCACAATAAGTTCTTCATTTGTCGAAACCGCTGATAGTGTATATACCACTACCATTTAATATTTATATCTTCAAGAAAATTGGCATGGTTTTGATCCAAGGCAACGGTATAAATCTTCAAACAAATTGCTAAGAATGGATCCCTTTAGCTGGATATAAACTGACTGATCAAAATCAAGTACTCTTATGGGATTTGGGATATTTGCTTCGATGCAACCGTTGTTAAGGTTTTTTTCTTTTTTTATACTCTCGCAACAAAGTTGCTAAAGAGAGTATTATAGTTTTGTTCACATAACGGTTGTTTGTAAGTCCTAAAACTGAAAGAGTCAGATATACTGTTGTATATACCAAAGTGATCAGGGTGACGAGTAGAGTTGAAATACGGATGTCTGGCTGTCTGGCTGTCCGTCCGTCCGTGCAAGCTGTAACTTGAGTAAAAATTGGGATATCATGATGAAACTTGGTACACGTATTTCCTGGCTCCATAAGAAGGTTAAATTCGAAGATGGGCAAAATTGGCCCACTGCCACGCCCACAAAATGGCGAAAACCGAAAACCTATCAAAACCTAAGTGTCATAACTAAGCCATAAATAAAGATATTAAAGTGAAATTTGGCACAAAAGATCGCATTAGGGAGGGGCATATTTGGACGTGATTTTTTGGAAAAGTGGGCGCGGCCCCGCCCCTACTATGCTTTTTGTACATATCTCGGAAACTACTGAAGCTATGTTAACCAAACTCTACAGAGTTGTTTCATTTAGGCATTTCCGTATATAGTTTAAAAATGGAAGAAATCGGATAATAAGCACGCCCACATCCCATACAAAAGGTTATGTTGAAAATCACTAAAAGTGCGTTAACCGACTAACAAGAAACGTCAGAAACACTAAATTTTACGGAAGAAATGTCAAACGTCGCCCACTTATTGACCAAAAACCATATCTCAGGAACTACTCGACCGATTTCAATGAAATTCGGTACATAATAGTTTCTTAACACCCTGATGACATGTACGAATTATGGGTGAAATCCATCTGATGCCTTCTCTGTATAATATATACATTAGGAACCAATGATGATAGCGAAATAAAACTTTACACAAATACGGTATTTGATGCGAGAGTATAAAATGTTCGATGACACCCGAACTTAGCCCTTCCTTACTTGTTTTTTATTAATTCCATGTCGAATTATGAAAGCCAAATCACTGCACGAACACATTCTGGAAATATTGGATATATAAACACGCCACAATTTACGATTTCGCGCTTATTTATAAACTTAACGCTCGTAATTGTGGAATTTAGCATAAGTATAAACTAAGGAATTTATAAAAAAATACAACAATTAAATAAAATAAACGTACCTGTTTGCAAAAGTCTGTTTGAAATTAATTTCCTGAGCAGCTGTATGGCATTTGTTAACGCTAAAATATGTTTTGGTTTACAAATTGCACTATTTCATATAATTATTTATTATGTATATTTGTTATTTTAATCTTTGTATATTAATACAAACTTGCTTACTGCCGAAAACACACTAATACTTATTGAAATTTCTTCTCACTTTTTATACTTTTAATTTTATTATATTTAATTTTAGCTTGGACAAACTGTGTTCGAATAGCATCCTCAGATTTTGGGGTTAAAATGGGTATGTACGAAAAAAGGAAGTTTTCTAGATTGGGAAAAAATGCATATAGTTGCCGTTCTTAAAGTTCAAAAATTCAACTATTGAAAGTGCGTTAACCCCGAAATCAGGGGATGCTATTCTAAACTTTTCCCTTAATTTTTTTTTTTTAATTATTTAAAAGAATTGATTATTAAAAAAATATATATATAGACATATATATATGCATATATAACACTTCATTAAACTATTGACCGATTCTGTGCACTAAGCTACTTAAATACATATCGACACATATGGTTTTCCGGAATACTTTTATCGCACCCTTGTTTACTCGTTTACCTCAATCATACAAATTTTTGCATTTATCTGCTTTAAATTCTTTTCAAATTTTACTGCCCTCACTTGTAAACAAAAATTTTATTTCCACATTTCAAGATTGCAAAGCACAAGTTGGACGCTGGAGAAGCAAAAGTATACATTTGCCAACGAAACACACAGCGGTATATATGTAACAAGAGTATATTAGCACACAAAACCGAGTCGGCAGCGGCGCGTACACACCCTTTTCTGCGCACAACAACACTACAGTGTGCGCTACATACAAAAACAAAAGTCTAAAAGTCTACCAAATACAAAAGTCTATAAAAAAAACCAAAAAATAACAATATTGATAAAAATGTGCACCGTAACGATAGTTTTACAAGGTACATATACATAAATATGCAAAATAAATTGTGTGGCGCTAATAGAATATTTGTGGCAACCAAAAAATGTGTGGTATTAAAGAATTTTTGCAGCACTAAAAGAATCCTCTTTTTTATTGCTTTTTGCCGCGAAAAAAGTTTTACTTCCGCCACACAAATTGCCGTAAATCACGCAAAAATAGCAACATTAATATACACTGTAAACAAAATTTTCCGCTAAAATATTTAAGACACTCTAAAAATATGTTTTTCGTATACATATGTTACACGACACAACAGATTGAGTTTTCGAAAACTCCTTGGCAGCTTTAGGCTAGTATATTACATCTCTTCCTTATTGTCACCACAACACCACACAATAGGCGTGCGCTACTCGTTTCGGCCGCAGCTGCCGCCTTGGCTGCTGCACGTCAATCAGCAAAATCCGGCGCCCCCACCCAAAAAAGGCAAAGCTCCAACCGCAACGGGGCCAGGCAGGCTAACTGACATGTGTTGGCAGGGCAGCAACAAGCAGCGCAGCGATGCAGACAGACAATCAGTCAGCGCGGTCGGCGACGTTGTATTGTGCGCCGTAAAAGTCGCGTCACAGCTGAGAACAAGATCCACTTTGTTGTTATTGTTAGTGTTGTTGCAGTTTTTCGCTATTGCAAAAATTCATTTCCTTATTTCGTACAAATAAGGTAATTTGCGGCCTCCAAGCGACTCGAAATTATGCGCTAAAGTGAGTTTTAACGAGCACTATGCGGAAAAAGCAAAAAATCCAAAACAAACACACAAAATAAAATACAGAAAGTGAAAGAAAAAAGTCAAAAAATAGAGGCAATTTCATTAGAACTGCCAATGCCTGGAAGTTTCGACCACTCGCTCAATTCTAACCCATAAAGGAGTCATCAAAATCAAAACACTACACAACACACATTTACATATATACAAATTGCAAAGCAACAACAATACCGCTTAAATGATTCGCTACCGTTGCAAATTCAAGCACTATAATAAACGCACTCACAATTCTACACTTTTTCTACTATGCGTGCACACACTTCGCGGCAAACCGTTTGTTACTAAACCGTACGAAAGCCAACCGAAAACTGTGCGCCGGTTGTGTTCGCAGGCAGCGCTCAAGCGCATGGGCTAGTATGTTTGCCGCACGCCTGCAATGTGTAGAGAGCGCACAGCTGTCGCAGCAGCTTGCAGAGAGAACGCAGCCAGTAACTGCATTGCAGTAACGGTAACAGACCTTTTGACTGCGTTGGTGTGTAGTTGTTTGGGTTTACTGCGCGGTACAGTGGGTGAGTTTGCAAATATAACAAGGCGGAATTGCAAACCCAAAGAAATACATCTGTAAGTATATGTTTACCATCTACATATACGATGTTTTTGGCATTTCAATTTAAATAATCAAGTATATATATACTACATGAATCAAAAAGTCCGCGGTCTAATAATTTGACCTAGCTGTAAACTTGATGGCCCAATGGGTTCCCGTTTTTCAAGCAGTTATGCTTTTTATTGATTATTTTACCATGTTCGAATTTCTGAGTGATAAATATTCCATCTAAATCCCAAATAATATTGCTTAAATTGTCTGTGTTTTTTTCGATGTGGAAAGCTTCACCGAACAACAACGTTACATTCGTAAAACGAAATTCTATAACAATTGTTGCTTCGTTATGTTCTCTACTGAACAAGTATTGCTTAAAGAATTATGAATTTATTACGTTTTATCAAAGGAAAATATATCAATCGAAATTCACGAAACGAAAAGATTGTCTAAACACATTGGACACACAAAAAGAGATATATCATGAATAAAATCAATGCCTATGAACTAAACTTGAAAGTAGCGCAGACGGAGAAGGATTTTTTGTGAACCTCAGGAGGCTTTAACTTAAAATAAAAAATATTTTATATTAAATATTTCAAAAAATATTATGATTACAGCGAGTTCAAAAAAAGAGAAGTGCTGAATTTTGAAGACAGTGGAAAATAGTCGATTTTATTTAAACAATCATGCCAGAAGAGATCGTGTATGAAATTTGATCTAGACAGTGGAAAATAGTCCTCTCTAACGATTTTATTTAAACAATCATGCAAGAAGAGATCGTGTCTGATATTTAATCTAGGAAATACTTGCTTCATAAGCGAAAATCTCGGCATATAACCCAATGCTCAGTAAAGAGAACGCAAATAGAACACTATTTTTAGGGGCAGCCTTAAAGACTTGATATATTTTTTTAAATATTTAGCTCCACGAGCTTTGCTTGGCAAAAATTAAACAAACTACAATTTTTACCCACTGTTACTAGGTCGCTGTCACTGCACATTTTACGAATGCACCTACAACGAGAGAGCTAGTCAGCTAAACAAATGTCGAATAAGACAAATGAGAACAAACTTTTCAAAGCAACAGCAACATTAGGAGCCTGTCAACTAAAACAATAAACATAAACAGCAGGCCGCAGGAGGTCTGACTATTTGACAACAACACCAAGAGTCAAACAGTTGAACGACTTACGCGCCCCGGTTAAAGCAACAACTAAACCACATGTTTGTTAAAACTGTTAGTGAGTGCAATGCATGCTCAGAACGACGCGTCGCGACGCGGGCATACGAAAAAGTCAACCACCGAAAATAATGCAGCACAACCCAACTAAACAATGCAATTGCCAACCAGCTGCAACTGCGATAAGCACAACAACAATAGCAAACACTATAAACACAAGATGTTGAAACAAATTAGATAAATGCCAATTGGCAAAATGATAGGCGAGCAATAAATGTGCGCACACAGTTGTTTTCGTGAGACCGGCAAACAAAATGAACAACAGAGCGGGAGCGTGCAAAGATAGTAAACTTTGAGAGCAAATGCGTGCAGTGAGAGACTGCGCTGTATACATTGTCAATAGAGAATTTATTGGTTAAATGCTGCAGAGCTATGCTGGTTGGAGCTCTGTTAAGTGACTAACAGCACATACTTATGTTATTGGAGGAGCTGTTAAATTAAAAGCAATTACAGTGGATCACACTAGCAGGGCGGTATGGAATAGTTAATGTTGCTGATATAAATGACTTTTTATGATAATTTTACTAAAACAGAAATATGCATGAAAAAAATTAATAATAAATATATTATAATAATAAAATAAATT